TTTAATTTTAAATGAAAACGTATGGTGGCTAATTAAGGTTCAGTTGGTGATCTTGATGGATTACGATGCTTGGGTTTCATATATTCAGGCTGTGTGTGTGTGAGTAAAAATAAATGTAAATTATTGGATTTAAAGTCTAGGAAACACAACATTTTTGCTGTCCTAAAAGTTAAAACACCTAATTTCTAAACTATATGAGACAAGCGCACTAATATGACAAACAACTCCACAATGATAGAAAATCTTTCAATAATGTACAATTACTGGTTCTCATGCGACAAACACACTAAATATAGATTTATTCAAGAAATACTGATCATGTGACATTTCGAAGATTACTTGAGCCTTATAGTTTAAAAAACACACTCCTATTATGGTTTGTCTGTAAGACAATAAATAAAAGAATGTTCATACATCTTGAAGAGCTTTGCGAGTGGTACTTCAACCAGGTATTAGATGACCAGTCAGTGTTAGTTTGTGTGGTTAGAAAATCAAGATTAAACAATTATGTGACACGAACACACACACAGTCTTATATTAAAGGCCAGTATTTTTCTTTCAGAGAGGGTATGGATTCATGTATCAACCAAACAGTTGTTATATTACATTGCTAAATTTAAATCTATCCTTTCCAGTAGTTCCTATTCTAAAACAAACTACTAATGTCTGCGGGATTCATGCAGTCGTGAAAAGATTAATCTGAACTTATATTTTAAAGGAACTTCTTATTACTACTTTCCAAATGCTTAAGAATACATTGAACACAGTTGCATCAAAAATATTAGTAACAATACCGCTTTTCATTTCCGGCGTGTAATCTGTCTGTGGCCAAAAAAAATCGTTTCACTTAAACAAAGAAACATGTTACCTACTAACAACATACAAAAGGAAGAAACCTTTGTGATGTCAGATGAATGTATAGCTTTATTCGTAGGACTTCTAAATGTACTTAATGATTCTTTGTTCTTGGATATCTTACGAGCAATTTCTTTAATGGAGTAATATACGATATTCTGTTTAATTTTCCGACACCTTAAGGTGTCAATGCAACGTTATCACTTTTTTACTGTAGAAATGCAATGGCAAAAAAACAAAAGGTCCCTTAAAGTTCCTGTTTACGACAAGCTGGCGCGTGATTGCTTGCACTGGGCTAACCTGTTTGAAAATGCGTGCTGAACATGTATTACAGCTTCAATTTACGACGTCTAAAGTCGGCAGGAGCAATTGTTAGGCTGCTTATTTGTATCTCAAAATTTACGATACATGATAAAATATAAGTAACATTATTTCTGTGACAAATACCAACATGTTTATAACATGGTATTGAAACTGTTAAGAGTTAAGAGTAAAATATATATATATACATATATATTAATACATTTAGCGACTTCAACTGTACTTTTTACCAGAACCCATATGAGAGAGTGAAGAAGACCCAATTGTTTAGTTCTCCGTGTGAATTTTCTTTTTAAAATCCTTACTAATTTTCTAGAATGCTTTGATCTATATTGTTTTTAAATAAAAATCGTAATATCCTATCTTGTACTAGTTTGTATTTCAGTATGATTAAGCGTTTAATATTACACATCTCCACGAGTTGCCTGTCACACGGAATATGCTCGCCCTTTCAGCTAGGGGGGGGGCGTTAAAAGTGACGGGCAATCCTACTATTCGTTGGTAAAATGGTAGACCATGAGTTGTCGGTAGTGGTGTTAACTAGCTGCCTTCCCTCTAGTCTATCATTACTAAATTAAAGACGGCTAGCGAAGATAGTCTTCGAGTAGCTTTGCGCAAAAATCAAAACAAGCCAAACCAATCAACGAGTTGTATCATTTTGTATTAACCTTTCAGAAAATAAAGTAACCGATTTCAGTAGTATTCTTCTTGTTTAAAGATATTGAAATCTTCTCTTAATTCTCGATAATACTTGTTCGTTTTATATATCTAAATGTAACTTACATTGTCATTCGTTGTTCGTTTTATATATCTACATGCAACTTACATTGTCATTCGTTGTTCGTTTTATATATCTACATGCAACTTACATTGTCACTCGTTGTTCATCACCGCTGCTTTCCAGCAATCTTGTTATGAGTTTAAGTTACCCAACAAATTGAATAGTTTTAATATAATTACAAACATTATTTTAAGAATAATGTCTTTTCTAAGCTGGCGAAGTACTGCTATAATTAATTATA